TGACGAACTGACGAACCGAAACGATAGTTAACCAAACCGGTCAATCGCTTAACCGATTGGTTTTGGTTCAATTTCGGTTACAAGTTTTCCAAAAACCGGTAGTACCGATTTAGTTACAAAAAAAGGCACATGGTTTGATTAACCAAACCGTGGGCACCCCTATTAGGTAATGATTGACAAACAATGGGAGGAACAGTGGATCCAAACTTGAACATTTGAATATTGGTTCCAATGTTTTAAAAACCGATATAAAACCGGAACTGCCTTGGCCATCAGTTTTTAGGTCAGTGGTTCAACCGTTCGATTCAAATGAATGACCTGTTTCAAATTAAAAACATAAAAATAAAAATAAAAATGACCAAAACCTATTATTTGGATCAAATGGATCAATGGTTCGACTGCCAGATTAATGGGTCACTGATCAAGTCAACGGATTTTGATCAAAAAACAGATTAGAGTAAAATGGAATTAATTGCCTAAACGATTCCCAGGTCAGACTGTTCAATTGTCCGAGTCAACAATATTTTGAAAACACTGATTAGTTCTTATTTTTAAAAATTTCTCTTAGTGGTCTTGATAAACTAAGAGGTGTTTTATAACTTTCTGTTCAAAATATAACCTCACTCCATGACAGAAATACTCATACTTTTTTACCTAAAATCTTATAATTTTTCTCTCATATCGGTCCCTGTTTTATTTCTTTTTTATTTGGGGGAGTCAGCCGGTGCTACTAATAAACCATTTTTCTCATATTTTCCTTTTTTTTTCTTCATCCAGCAAAAAGAACTCATAAATTCATAAGGTTGAATATGTAAATAATCTCTTTTTAGGTATAATGACATTTAGATATTCAATTTCAAACAGTTCAATTACATTTAGGTCACGAACAAAAAAATAAATAAAAGGAAGAATTGACTAATTAGTGTTTGTAAGTACACTTGTAGTTTTCTTAGCAAAAAACCAAGCTTCATTAAATTTAACCGATTGGATTGCTAAAATTTGTAACCAAGCCATTTCTGGTGTTAATGGTTTGATTGAAAGATAAAAGCTCATGGACTCGTGGGTTGGGGATTTCACGGTTAAGCTAATCGAACCGTGGGCTTTTTTAAATCGAACCAATCTTTCGGTTTTTAGAAAACTGGGAATCAAAATTAATTGATTAATGGATTGATTGATTGTTTTGGTTTTTGACTAATATGATTCTTTGATATTTTTAAATTTATAATATTTTATAAATGACTATATCCTTATTTAATATAATATTAAAAATATATGTAATTGAACTAATTGATTTGATTAACCGCCGATTTTTCATATTAATTAACTGAAACTAAATTGATTAAGTTTGATTTTTCAGTTTTTGATGAATACGCTTACTTGTAAGAAAACTCTTTCCCGTGTGGAAAGCATTCCTTCCTTTATAACAAAAAAGAAACAAAAAAAAAAAAAAGTCTATAACCACACTTTGATTTCAATTACTTTTTCAATATCAAAATAATTTTACCAAATGGAGTTTGGAACTGTTATGCATAGGGCAGCATGTTCCAGCGGCACATCCAAAATACTTATAAATTATTATCCATGAAAGATATTCCTAATGCACGGTGGAATGGGAATGTTAGGCTAGTGTGAGAAGCAAATCCCATCTCATATATTATTATTTCCAATGCATCGCTGATTTGTTTTACGAGGTCGGTGTGAGGAGCGATCTGTGAATAGCAGATCCGAATTCTACCAAATGCCGCCTGAACCCATAATTAGGACTGACCATTGGATGGGTATTAAAGAGAGTGCCTAACTAAACATCAGCATGATCAGATGATGAAACTTTTCTAAAAATTGCAAGAGGACAGTTCTCTAAAACGGAAAGGTGGGTAAATTCAAGGCCAGAATGAGCCAATTCCCAATTTCCGAACGTCCCAACGTGTCATGAGTTGGGAGAAGCCCTAAAAGTAAAGATAGTCAAAGTCTACACAATCAATGGCCTCGGTATTAGGATCAGTTATTGGTGTCAGAGATCTTGATATGAGTGTAAGACCAATTATAGGTAGGTCCCATTGACCATCATACCCTAGAAGGACCAACGAGTACGGAATCTAGTGTCCTCCGGACCAAAGAATGACGTAGGTGGATTGGTAAACTTTTTATTACCATTACATCATTATCATTATTATTATTATTATTATTATTATTAAAATCTTTCTTAACAATCATAATAATCTTTCTTGAGGTTTCACTTTAATAAAATCATCTTCTATATTTTTATAGAAATATACAATTACCTCCCTACAATTATTGTTTCATTATAACTTGAAAGTTATGAAAAAATTACCCTTACAACTTATAAGGGCATATTTCAATATAATTCAAAATGTCAGATTTATCCTTCTAGATCTCACTAGACATATGGTTTTTATAGAGTAAAATTACTTTATTCTTTTTAATCTTATTTAACGATTTTTTTAATTAAAAGTGACCAGTTTTTTATGTGTTTTTTAACAAATTTCCGTATGAATTGATTGATATAAGAGTAAAATAGGTACTTTTGAAAAACTAATGCATTTGGCCAATGTTTTTGGTTCAAGACAATAATAATTAATAAAAGGGAGGTAACTATAGTTTTTTTCAATACTATAGTGGAGGCTTTTATGAAAATGAAACCTTAGAGAAAATTTTTATATTTTACCCTTATTATTATTACTATTAATATTATCATCATCATTATTATTATTATTATTATTTATTATTATTATTATTAACCCTTAATTTGTATTTTATTAAAACACCCTTATAATTTGTAACCAACTTGCTTAATCGACCTTCTATTATGAATTGCTTATGTTGCCATTTAGAAACGATTACACAATCAATTTGAATTGAGTGAAAATGTTTAAGACCATGGACCCATAATTATTTATTCCAAAAATACCCCTAAAATTTCAAGTAGACATAAAAATTGACAAAATAGGATGGTTGATGATTTAATAGAAACAAGAATAATATTTTTATTTTTATTTTTTAATTAAATTTATTTGAGAAAAACATTGAAGTCAAAAATTTTTCATTTCCATCTAAAAAAAATTAATTAAGTAAATAGATTACAAAATATAAGGAATGTTTTAATAAAAAGCAAATTATAGAATAGGTTTGAATGAATATGTAAAATACAAGGACTAATTTAATAAAAGAACCCTTATCATTATTGAAGATAAAATTCAGGAATCAGGAAAGAAAATAAAAATAGAAAAAAAGCTCACTGGTAAGCAAAATCCTAATACATGTCTGTGTGTGAGAACATCTGTGAGAACAGTGAACAGATAATAATCAGACTCAGGCTGATATTTTGCAGAGGAAGAGTACAATGTACAATCTGTGATGTGCGGTGTAAGATTATGTTAGTAGAAGGTTGGAACGTGTTTTATTGACAGTGACCCGAAATCGTTTCCTATCCGGTCTCTTCTCTCTCAGCCTCGCTAATTGAAGTGTTGGGAGGTTGCAAATGTCAATGTGTCCCAACTCCACTGGGACCCGCAAAAACCGCTTCAACCGTTTTCGCAGTTGTTTGAAACGCGTGTCACTGAACCTGACAAAACCAGCTCCCCTATTTTGTTCGTACAATCAGGTCCTTTCCTCACCCACCTAACAAGTTTCCCTTTACCACAACCGATTTTTCATGCTCAACTATACAATCTTGTTGCCATAAACACCCCCTACTTTTTTATTAATCGACTAAATTCACCCTTTTACGGGTCAGGTAATTTAGTTAGCAAAATTTGGAAAACGGCAATAAAATAGTTTTCCCCAACTTCGGGTATTATTAGAAAGATCATTTTGGATCTAAAAATACATAGGTCTTAGAATATTTGGCAGCATCTAAATTCAAAAAAAAAAAAAAAATAATTACAACAATGTGAGCTTTGTTTTGTACCACGAGTCCCAAGCTTGAATAAAAGAAGACGAGTTATACAAGGTTTTGTCAAATTCTTATGGTCATGGTCAGGGTGCTAAATTCGAAATGGGATTCGTGTGGTCCTTTCTGTTGTATTCAAAAGAAATCAGAAAACTAAAATAGAAATTAGACCAAACCGTAATAGAATGGTTTTGATCGGGTTTTTGGTTTAGTTTCTACACTAAAATTGTTGGGTGTAGTATAAAAATTTCTCAAACCATAATTTCTTGGTTTGGTTTAAGATTTTCGAACTGGATTATGAACAACCTTACAAAATATGACAGAAAAAAAGAATTAATATATATTTCTAAATCAGATATTTTGCTGATTATACTAATAATCTCTTTTAATTTTCACACATGCTTACAAGAATGGATTTTTATTAGCACTCTATAATCCCTAATAAGGACCACTGCTTCCTGCAATGGTAAAATTTCGATTTGCCAAGCATGAGAATGTGGGTTCAAGTCTAAGATGGCTCACTTTGTGCGAAAAATGCCAAAAGGTTAAATTTATATTCAGTCCACCTTTCTCAAGACTTCACATAGTTGGGACCAGTATTAGGTCCCCCACCCTCGATAAAAAGGGGACAAAAGAAAAATTAAAAAAGAAAGGCCTTAGTGTCCAAAAAACATAAAGCATAAGCATGTGCTTCCCATTAGTTTAGTTTAGTTGTAAACTTGCAAGGATTCTTAACAGAAGAATCAAGAAGGAAAAAATTAAAAAAAAAAACAAAACAAAAAAAAAAAAAGTCAGTTACAATGGTAATGTCGTAAAGGGTGTTTTCGTCAATCAATTAATTTGTAATTATTAAATAATAAAAGCTGTAAATTGGGAATAGCGGTAATAGGAGGTAGCCGGTGAGACGAACAAACAGGATATTAAAAACCGTTGTTGTCAGAGACGACTTTCACGTAAATTTAGATTAATGAATAAAATTCAATATTTAATTGTGGTTTTGGAATATTTATTTATTATTTATTTTTCCATTTTAATACTTCTTTTATGATTTCAACCGCAGAACTCACTATAAAAGCTACTCACTCCCTACGCCTTTCTTCACACGTCTAATTTAGAGCTAGCACAGAGAGAGATCCAAGGAGAAGTCTCGCTGTGCTATTGCTTTGTTTTCGATATGTCGCTGCTCTCAGACCTTATCAACTTGAACCTCTCCGACACGACGGAGAAGATCATTGCCGAGTACATATGGTGGGTCTAGTTTTCCTCTGTTTTGCGTTTCTGAGTTTATGGGAGCTCTGTTTTTACTATTCCGCTTTTGATTTAAATGTGTGTTTGTGGGTCGTCTTTTTCTGGGTTTCTGATTGTTTTTCTCTACTGTTGATGGAAGTTTGGTGGGTTTGTTTCGTTTTGTTGCTTTTATTACGATAGCCATGGATTTGTTTTCTTAGTATTGCTTTTGTCTGGGATTTTTATTGATATTTATCACTTCTTTTTCTCTAAATTCTGGACTTCTTTCTATCTTTTTGATGGGTATGCTTTTTTTGTGACAAGTTCTTCACAAATCCATGATTCTGCTATTCTTTTGTTGGTAATTTTATTTAATAGGTGTTCCGTATTTTCTTAGTTCTTTACCCAAAAGTAACGATCCTTTGTTCCAGAAGTTTGACTTCTTTCAAATGTTCGTTTTAATTTTTCTACAGGGTTGGCGGATCTGGAATGGACATGAGAAGTAAAGCAAAGGTAATCACTTCTTTCTCCGCTATTTTCTTTTTGTTGTTGCTTTTGATTATTCATAATCTTTGGTCTGATGTATTTGGCTTTCTGTCATTTGTGTCATGAATTAGACGCTATCCGGGCCAGTTAGCGATCCCAGCAAGCTTCCCAAATGGAACTATGATGGTTCTAGCACTGGTCAGGCCCCTGGTGAAGACAGTGAAGTGATCTTATAGTACGTTTTCTTGCCTTTTGTTTGCTTGTTTTCTTCATCTTTCTTTTAATTATGCTATTATATGAGATATTTTGCTTTTTGATTCATTTTCTTACGAAGAATTCTTGTTTCGGTGATGTTTGAAACAGTCCTCAGGCTATCTTCAGGGACCCATTCAGAAGAGGCAACAATATTCTTGTAAGTGCTTCTTGATGGTATTTCTTGTTTTGCAATTAAACTGTAGTCCTTTTTTGTTAAATTGCTCAATCTGTTTCAGTCAATTGATGTTCTGCTATACCTTTTTGTATCTGTTTTACAACTTATTTAGGTTATGTGTGATACTTACACTCCTGCTGGAGAACCAATTCCAACAAATAAGAGATGCAATGCTGCAAAGATATTCAGCCATCCTGATGTTCTTGCTGAAGAACCCTGGTATTTTCTAATTTACACCATCCATAGTTCTTTTCTAACTGTTTCTTATCCTGTTATGTTTGATTGTTATGCTTCTTAGTTTCTGTTTTCTCCTATTTCCCTGACTCTTTGATTCCAAAACAGGTATGGTATAGAGCAAGAGTACACCCTGTTGCAAAAAGATGTTAAATGGCCTCTTGGGTGGCCTGTTGGAGGTTTCCCTGGCCCACAGGTAATGAAATTTGCATTAACTCAAGCTTCATTTTCATGGGTTTTCTTTATTATTCTTGTCAAATTAGGAATTTTCTTTTTTCAGGCCCGCGATTTGGTTTAGTTTTTTTTTCCTGATTTTTGGTTTTCGTGTGGTATTTTCTGCATAATTTTGATCAACATTTAGAGAACTCAATAAAGAAATATTAGATTAATTATTTATGTTTGATTTCTAGCAGAGTTTTGCAACACTTCCACATTTACATTTTCCTCTTACTTGATTGAGTCTGGGGTCTTGCCATATTTTGAGTTTGATCTCTTATCTATTGAACAACAGGGACCATACTACTGTGGTGTTGGTGCTGACAAAGCTTGGGGTCGTGACATCGTTGATTCTCATTACAAGGCATGCCTTTATGCAGGCGTCAACATCAGTGGAATCAATGGAGAAGTGATGCCAGGGCAGGTAAGAACAAGTTTCTCCTCTTGCTTATTTCCTTTATTTTATTTCCTTTGATTGAATTGGCTTATCAATTTTCTTTGTTAGTTTCCTTACATTTGCTTTTGCTTAATTTTGTTCAGTGGGAATTTCAAGTTGGTCCATCTATTGGTATCTCTGCCGGAGATGAATTATGGATTGCTCGTTACATTCTGGAGGTAATCATTACAACCATCTGCGAGTCTTCTCTTTTGCTAATGAGGAACTTCTTTGGAAGAAGGATGAGTAAATGGTGTTTGCTTTTCAATGTTAACAGAGGATTACAGAGATTGCTGGTGTTGTACTCTCCTTCGACCCCAAGCCCATCCAGGTTAGATTTAACTCTCAACTTTCATATCCACCTCCACCAAATTCTCTAGCATCTGTATTTATATATAACTTTGTTTGTGGTATGTTTTATCGTTAGGGTGACTGGAATGGAGCTGGTGCTCACACAAACTTCAGGTAATACTTCTCATATATTCTTCAATTTATTGAGTGAAAGCCATCCGTTTTTGTGGGACTATAACATGCAGAATTCTCTGTTTTTCACCATATCTGATGAACCATGTTATGTGGATTTCAGCACAAAGTCCACGAGAAATGAGGGAGGCTATGAGGTTATCAAAAAGGCTATTAAAAAGTTGGGGTTGAGGCACAAGGAACACATAGCTGCCTATGGAGAAGGCAATGAACGCCGCCTCACCGGACGACATGAAACAGCTGATATCAATACCTTCGCTTGGGTATGGACTTGCTCACATCTCTGGATTGGACTTTGGAATTGATAATTTTACAGAAATTAATTTAATTCTTGGGAGCACTGTTCTTATCTTTTCTTCACATGATTTTGACAGGGAGTTGCAAACCGTGGGGCTTCCATTCGAGTGGGCCGAGACACAGAAAGAGCTGGCAAGGGTTACTTCGAGGACAGGAGGCCTGCCTCCAACATGGATCCCTACGTGGTTACTTCCATGATTGCAGAGACCACCATCCTGTGGAAACCATAAGAGCTCAAGCAAAGCAAAGTCACCAGTCATCTACTAGTTGGTGTTCGGTCTGGGATCTCTTCTCATTGTTATTCTTCTGATAAACAAGCCTCAGAAAAGAATGTGTATTGGAGTAGGGCCTCTCCCATCTCTCTTCCCTTGGAATCAAAGTTGCTGTCCAGTTACTTTGTGGTCTTTTTTTCCTTCTGTTTTGTCTTTGAGGTCGGCAGTTGAATGCGTTGTTTTCTGCCTTTTGATTTTTCCTTGGTTTTCGGTGACAGTAGAAAATAATATAGAAGGACCGATTCCCATTGATATCTACAAAGGAGATGTTCATGCACTCTGTTTCTTTAAAATGGATGCAATCTTATGTCGGTTTTGTTCATGAGGGAACAACTTGTAAGTTGTATCCCAAACCATTTTACTTTGCAACAAGCTCAAAATCACAAAATTACATAGCCCCAATTCTCTAGACTTTGTTCTTTGGGGCTTAAAAGTATATTGGCTTCATATTCTTATACTTTTAAAAGCAATTCTTACTGAATGCTCAAAATATTTTTTGGCTCATTTTTGTTTTTTATAACACAAAGCTCAGGGGAAATTTATAGATAAGTACCCTGTACTTTGGGGTAATAACACTTAAAAAAGGCCTCAAATTTCAAGTGAACTTACAAAAATCAATACTCAAGTCCATCCGTTAGCACTCCACCAGTTACATGTAGGCGAAGTCGCCTTTGAGACATTTCAGACTCTCAAAAGTCAAAACTACCATTTACATATTTTATGAACAGTTTCACAAGGGGCTTTTTGGAGTTTTACTGAACTGAACTGATGTTAAGTTTTTAAAGTTCAAGATGCTTGATTGTGGCAATTGAAAGTTGTGTAAGTATTACTGCGTAAGTACAAGGATAACTAACTATTTGCAATTTTACTTTCATAAAACAAAAGGATTATAAACTCAAATCGTAAAATCGGAATCTAATAACCCAACCTACCCACAGGACACGGAGACCAGATGTGCTACTTCCCTCTCCGTTGTAACAGGCGGGAGTTATATTTCTGTAAAAGAACTTTGAACTCTCTTACCGAGTTTAAGTGATACGTTATTACACTAACTCCTATAATTTTGTACTTCTCTTATAACTTAAATCTTAGGCTCGTTACTTAAAGCTTCAACTTGTAGAAATACAAACGAATTAGTATGTACAGTAACAAACAAACTCATACGGTATCAATTAGACTGTATTTCTCAATGTAAAACCAAGTTACAGAAGTTATTACACCAACTCGATATAATTTTGTAATCCACTTATAACTTAAATCTCAGGTTCGTTACCTAAATTTTGTAATCCACTTATAACTTAAATCCACTTCTCTTATAATGGAATTGGTTTCAAAATTGGATTTGAAATGGTCTATTCTATGGTCTGTTTAGACCTGTCAAATGGGATGTGCTAGGCCACACGACATGATTTGCATGCTGATTGTGCAAAGTGTGGGCCATGCCGTGTCAGCCCATGGGTCATCTTGGGCTGTGCCTCTCTCCCTTGCGATAATTTGGAGGGTCGGCCCGGCACGGCTCGCAGCTTGAACTTGCATGGGCCTATACCGTGTTGTTGGTCGAGCTGGTCATGGGCCAAGCCAGGCCATAGACCAGGCCAAGCTATGAGAGGTCCATTTTAAAAAAGTTGAAAAAATGTTTAAATTTTTATTTTATATGATTTTTGACATATACAATTGTTTATATATACAGTAGTTAAATAAAAGAGTATAATAAAATTGAAAAACACAATTATATATATATATATATATATAATCATCTATATATAAATATATTTATATATATAGGTCGTGTTGGGCCGTGCCGGCATGTGGGCCGCGGGTGGCACGGCCTGCTCAGTCGTGTTGTGTCATGCTGGCCCATGGACCTAAAACCCCAGGCATGGCATGACCCATTCCATCATGCCATGCCCGGCACGGCCTGCGTATTGTTGTGTCGGGTCGCAAGCAGCACAAACCAATTTACAACTCTAGGTCCATTTGGTTTAGATAGGAATTGGAATCCCGCGTGTCAACACAACCCATTCCATCATGTCGTGCCCTACATGACTTGCATATTGTCGTGTCGAGTCGTAGGCAACACAACCCAATTTACAGCTCTAAGTCCATTTGGTTTAGATAGGAATTGGAATCCTGCGTGCTAACACGACCCACTCAATCGTGTCGTCCCATGGACCTAAAACCCTAGGCCCGACTTAGCCCATTCTATCATGTCGTGCCCATCACGGCCTATATATTGTCGTACCGGGTTGCAAGCAGCATGGCCCGATTTATAGCTCTAGATCCTTCTGATTTAGATAAGAATTGGAATCAACTAGGATGGGATTTCATTCCCAGGGGAAGAGGGAAATTGCCATTCCCTTATATGAAAACGAGAAAGGGTTGACAATCCGTTGAAGTCGCTATAGATATAGAATACTATAAAATGTCAAAAGAAAAGAAAAACATTAGATTAAAGACATGAAATGCAATGTGTATAAGTTTTTTTACCAAATAGAATTTTGGCTCTTCAATCTCTTACCTTAGTTTTCGTCCCTTCTAAAAATGTAAAAGTTTTTTTGGAAAAGAACATTGCAACCCATTGTAGAATTCTAAATTCCATTGCAAATCCAATGTTCAAAGTATCGAAATGTATCAGTCGATATGTATCGTGTCGGTAACTTCTCGATACGCCCCTACAGGGGTTGTATCGGGTAAGACCATGGTTTAGAGGGTAGTTGGGACCTAAACCGACCCCTCTGAACCGGTTTTGAAAAAAAAAATAAAACATAAAAAGGCACCAACACATTTAAAACCTTGTGTAGACTTACAACAATTCAAAATGTCAAGCACCCCACCCTAAATACCAATACTCGCCCTTGTATTGACATCAATTCTTACAATGGGCTGAACAGTCATTCTCCTAAGGTTTTTACTTATGCGTTTTTAGAGCAGCTCGTCAATGAAAAAGTTTGGTGGATAAGCTTAAAGTTTTTCTTTTATTTTTCGGATTGAAAATATGTAGAGAAAATTAGTAATGGGAGTTAACACTCCCATCCTTTACTTTTTTTACATCACCTAAACCATCTAGTGTTACAATACGGATGGAAGTGTGGCATTGTAACAACACTACATCTGCACATTGGGAACACCTTCCATATATACATGTTATCATTTATGGGAAGATGTCCACTATAGTGTCGTATGAATAGGATCTGATAGAATTATAATATATTCAAACATTGTGATCAAATGATAAAATACAGTTAATTAATTCTTTATTTTTTAATTCTAAAAATATAAAAATAAAAAAATAATTATTAAAGAAGAAATTTTAATTGGTTTGTGGATATGATAGATCATCCATAGAATTATAATATATTCAATTATTTTGATCAAATGATAAAATATAATTAATGATTATTTATTTTTTAATTCTAAAAATAAAAAAATAAAAAAATATATATATTAAAGAAGAAATTTCAATTGTTCTATGGATATGATAGATAAATCGATGGATCTTAAACATATTTAGTCTTTATAGATAGAGAAAAATTACATTTTCAAATTTTTTGTTAATTTATATTTTCCCCAAATATCTTCATGAAATTTCCATAAATCACTCTAGAAATGAAGTTTGAAGTTTTAAAGTCATTTGGGGGTGAAAAAAGGCTTATTTCGGGGAAAAGAGCTTGATTTCCCCCTTTAAACTTTTTTTTAGTTTTTGGTTGTATCTTTTTTGTCAATACGCTACCAATATGCCCCGATACACAAATCGATACGCCCCCGATACGCATGAAAAAAGATGAAACATCTGATTTCCATGCATATCCCGTATCTATTTTTCAAAGATACGATACGATACGCCTCACATCGGGCATATCTTATCAAAATTTTAAACCTCTGTTATTATTTATGGGAAGATGTTCACTGTAGCGTCATGTGAATAGGATCTACACTTGTACATTGGGAACACCTTCCATATTTACATGTTATCATTTATGGGAAAGTGTTCATTGTAGCATTGTGTGAATAGGATCCCTGTGGGTAGGAGACAAACTCCAAATTATGAGTCCGGATCTCCTGCCCACGAAAATTCTGCCTATATTTATCGCAACCACATATAGAAAATATCTCATCCTTTGCATAATATTATGCAGAGAGAGATATTTCGAATTCACAGGTGATAGTGTATTGTGGGTAGATGTAGATAGAATTCTTGTGGACAGAAGATCCAAAGTCCCAAATTATGACATTAGACAACCTTCTCACTAAATAAATGCGGTGGCATGAAGTGCTCATGAGTTACATTGCTTTATCTTGAAGGCTTCCCCCGTGGCGGGAATGTGAGACTAAAAGGTCCAATTCTGTTAGTGGATTCTTTGTCTTCTTTTATTTTTATTATTATTTTGTTTATAAACAGTTAATGGATTTTTATGAGTAGCGACAGAAGACTTGGTTGATTAGTTATCTCATCTGCCAAATTATGTATCCATCAACAACAATGCATGATCTCCAAGATCAATTCATACCATATGAGATATCAAGTCTCAGCCACAAACTCTTGTGATGCTGAAATCTTTTACCTCTTGATGTGTGACCTCCTACGCTATCGTTTTCCCTTCTCTCTATAAGCTATTACTCAAGCCACTCATCATGTCCCATCCGGGGCATCCCAACAGACCCAACCCTTTAAAATAGGGTTTTAATCTACATTTTGAGTTTCGATTACAATGTGTTGTCATAAGGTAAAAAATTTAAATATTTCTTTTCCATTTTTTAAATAGACTTCTCATACCTTGGCCAGATCTGCAGCCCAACCTGGCCCAAGGCTCGGCCTATGGCACGGCATAGGCTTGCATGGGAGGGAGACACGGGCTGGGATAGCCCACACTTTGCAAGGGCCGCATGCGGGCCATGTTGTGCCGGCCCAATAAAGCCTGATTTACACCTCTAAGTAGAACCAAATTCAAGCTAGTACTTTTAGCACAAATTGAACTCGAACCTGAACTCAAGTCTTATGCTTTTATGGTTGCCCTGGTGCAGCCAAACCCAATCCATTTAGGCACTTACACCCCTATTAACCTTTTTGGGAAGTTCAAACCATCAACATCAATATCACCATCATCTCTCTCTCTCTCTAATCAGACTGCATTAAAACAAATAGAGAAGCATGAAGGCAACTTTGCCAAAGTTTAAATTGGCAAAGCCCTTTTCTTAGAGTGAAATTATGAAAGGAATGAAACCAGCCTGGGGTGGGCATTCCTCATAGGCCATAGCATCCGGAAAAGCTATAAAATCCATCTCCCAAGATGTCTAACTGCCTGAAGCTTCTTCACTCTGTAGAGCTCGATTAGGCAGTCAATTCGCAGATTGATTTCCCTCGCAGCATGTATCAAAGCCACTTTTTGATACATGC